AAGGGGCCAATATTTAAATCCGTTGTAACAAGAAATCCGCTGTGGCGAGGTCCGCTGTGACGAGGTTTGACTGTATACATAATATATAGCAATGATAATAGCTACTTTTTTTGTAACCTATTCATTTTCATTTAGATCTTTTAATTATCATTATAACATATTGGCTATTGTTTAAGTAACTTTTACTTGTTGATAGTAATTGTTTCTATTCATTACTTTAGAATATAGTTGGCTCAGTCTAAATGACCTCTTATTGTTGCGCTACGCGCTCAAATTTCAATTTCGTGATTCGTTCAAAAATGTGAAAATGGTCACGTGATTTGTATGTAATAAAAAATTTATATATATATATATATATATATATTATATACATTATTACTACCCTTCCATTGCAACATTTTCAAGAACGTACCTGCGAGATTTGTATTTTTTTACAACATATAAAGCACGGGCACCAGTCAATATTTTACAGTAGGCGTCAATAAACCTCCAAGCATATTTACATATTTGTTCTAATGATACAGAGTTGAGTGCTTCTGGAACTGTTTTTTCCAATCCTTTAAAGGTGTAATTACAATCATCCCGTGTGTAGTTTTTTACAGCTCCCCAAAAACACTCAATGAAGTTAAGTTCGCAATGAAACCTGGGAAAAAGGATAACTTTATGTCCATGCTCTCCAATAATTTCTTGGATTAAAGAATGCTGAGAGGCAAAATCTTGTTGTAAAAAAAGAATCCGAACAGCACAGCAATCTTCTCTTATTGAAGTATGCTTTTTACAATCCTCACATAGACAAATAAGCTTGTCAACTGATGGTCAAAAGTTACGTTCTTTCAAAATCATCTTAATTCCTTTTTGCCTTCCACCTTTTAGATGCATTTTTTGAGGTTGCCCATCAGGCAGTTGTTATTGTTGATAGGATCGTTGTTGTAGGTGCTGTATTTGTTGTTGTTGTAGGTGTTGTACTTGTTGTTGTTGTAGGTGTTGTATTTGTTGTTGTTGTAATTGTTGTATTTGTTGTTGTTGTTGCTGTAAAGATTGTATTTATTCTAGATATTTGTTTAATTGATACTTGAGCAGGCTGGCGTGACCAGCTGCATGTGTAGATGTAGGTGGTGGTGTTGGTGGTGTAGTAAGAACATATTATTATTATTATTATTAAAATAATTTTTTATTAAAATTAAAATGTTAGTGTATTAGATAAAAAATTCGCAAGTTTTAAATATTAAAAAGCACACATTAAAAAAAAAAAACCTGAAAATTACAAGAAAAACCAAAAGATTGATTTTTTATTACTAAAATATACTAGGCTTGAGTTCTAATATTTCTTTGTAGCTGCTGTATGTGAGAATGAAAAAACTTGTAAAAGCATCTTTTTGTCATATTCTAGGTTGCCATAACTGATATAAATTTAAGGAATTACAGTTTTTTCTTTGTGATGAACTGTATGCATGATATTCTAAGTTGCCGTAATTGATAAAAAATTAACAGAAAAGAATTAAACCTATAATAATAAAGAAAAACAGAATAGTTACCAAATAAAGTTGCATTATTGTTTGTTTATTTCAAGATTTTTTCTTATTGGTATTAGTGTATTTTGCTTAAGAATATTTTAATACTAACTGATATATATATATCAAAATAAATTAATTCTTATTAAATTACATTTGCTGAATTGCCATTGTATTTTTATATATAATTAATTGAAATATGTATGTTTTGATTAATAGGGGAATTTATAATATTTTCTTCAATATTTCGTGTAAGATAATAATTAAAATTGGGGCATACTGCAACAAAACCAAACAAAGTGAACACTGGTATTACAAAGGATTTCAGGGATCAAATTTTAGTCATTTCATAATTATTAACAGTTTTATAATATCCCATTTGTTATATAGAACTACTCCTATATAAAAATAGTTAATATGAAACTCATTTACATCAGATCTACTATGGAACCCAGGAATTAT